TCTATCTATCTATCTATCTATCTATCTATCTATCTATCTATCTATCTATCTATCTATCTATTTTTTTGAAGAACCCACTTTGAAATGTCAAGAGAGGAACCACAGTTTGAAGTGTGCATGAAATACTGCACTGCACCTTTGCAAGCACATAACATGGCCCTGGGAGCAGACTTTAACACCTTGAGGTCAGTGGTGGGTTTCAAAACTTTTTCCTACCAGTTCTGTGTGAGCCCACACACCAAACGCAGGCTTCACGTGCACACACCGTTTTCCACTCACCTTCTGCTGCAAGCCCTGTGTGTAAAAGAGCTGATACGCGGCAATTGGCTGTGCTGCGCAAAGCAGCTGAACTTGAAAACCAGGAAATAAAGGTCAGAATAGATCTGGGGTGAATGGGAGAGCCCAGAAGCTGATCCTCGGAGCTACCGGTTCAGCCAAACAGGGCCGAACCAGTAGAATATCACCACTGCTCGAAATCAACCGTCTTTGAATGCAACCTAGTTGTTAAAAACAGGAGCTTCTAATCGATCGGTCGATAAAAACAATGCGCTTTGAAAAGCCAGGGCGATGTTCTTGCTATCCAGTCTGTAGAGTATTGGATCAATAACTGCTCCCCCCCCCCCGCCAGCCTGAGCCACACGGAACAGGTTCTGGACTTTCCCCAGATGTGTCTGGCCCACATTCACCACACACAATTTTCTCTTTGCTGTACTGTCCAACAACCTCATTCTTTTCAATGGATGGGCCCACAATTCAGAGTGGGTGTTAGCACTGGGTAGCAGACAGCTGAGTTTGTGAATTTCCTGCCCTCTGGGATTTAATTGGGTACAATTTGCACAACAGTGGGCTTTTCCTCCTTGCTCCTAACCACAGTTCAGAGTGCCCTAACCACACACACACACACACACACACACACACACACACCTGATGAGAATCTCACAACACTCTCATCTCCAACCTAAAAGCGAGACAGCCTTCAGTTAGCTGGACTGGTGTTAAACTGGCCTTCCCACTTCCCTGACACCATCAAGGTGTGTAAAATCAGGCCATCATTGTTAACCACCATCTCGGTTAAGAGATGCAACAGCTTGAAATGGGCAACAATGGGCAGAACGGGAATCAGTGATGAAGAGCAAATGTCAAGCCATGATTTTTTGTTCTGCCAACCATAGCATTGAATGGGCAGCTTCGGCTAAGCCACAGGGAGAGGCCCCATAGACGGAGCTGAGAAGGTGGTGGTTCATCAAACTCAAGGCAAAACAAAAGCATGGTATGATTTAGCACAATCTGAGAATCCAGTCGACATGTCATTTAGAGGCACTGTACAAAATTCAGCACAACCCAACAACTTCAGGGGATTCTGTCATGTGGCCATTGGCTCTCCAGAAGCATCTCCGGGACTAGAATGGGAAACAAAACTACTTACACCCCTAAGGAAAATGTGGGGATTTTTTTTAGGGTTCAACTATTGATGTTCTCCCAGTGTTCCATTGAAGTTGCCCATCTGCCCGAACCCCTTTGTCGATGGTCAAAGATCATGGATAATTTTTGGAGAACCATCAGGTTCTCAACTCCACCATGGATTTTTTCAAAAAAATGTTTGAGCTCCAAGGTTGGTAGGAACAGAAAGATGGACTACGCGGTGCACCCAAAAACGAACAATAACCGAGGTCCTCCTCCATTTAATCCCATTGTCCTCTACTTACACTGAAATAATGAGCTGAATCTCTGGGAAAGGATGATGTTGAGTTGCCAAGGATAGCAGAGGCTCCAGAAGGGATGATGGATGCAGCCCGTTGGTCCACATACTGATCGATTAAGTGGGCATCCAGGGACAAAGAGTATCCCTGACTTGCTGGGGATTCATAAGTCAACGACTTGGGTAGCAAGGAGGAACTGTAGACGTCGCTGGAAATATCTTTGCTGTTGTGTAAGTCCATATCTGTTGTCAAGGATCTTCGAACACCATAATAACCAGATGCTGTGGGAGAACCTTTGGGCCATGGAGAAATGGATAATCAGGGTGTGGTAGCAGCAGGAAGGGGGAAACATGAACATATAGAAACTATTAAGAGTGTCATAATTTTGGAGCTGTCACCAAATTAAATAAGCATTTGGTGGTTGTCAAGGATGTCTAATCAATTAATTTATGAATGTAATATATAGATTATCCTTGGGCCAATAAGGGTTTGTCTTGGGTTTTGAATGATGGGTGTATTTTTTTTTCATAAGAGGAACTTCAGGGAGGCATGTTTCAGCTTGCGTGTGAAAATGAAGGGGGAATTTCTTGTTTAACATGAGTTAGATCAGGAGTCCCACGTTAATGGAAGATTTTTTTTTAAATTGGAGGAATAGGAGGAATGGATAGCGATGTAGTTATTAAAATACTTACTGGGTAGTGGAACAAAAGATGGTTGAGAGCTCACAACGCTTCCCTGAAAGAAAAACACAACATCTTGAAAAGGAATTTGGGCTGAGTTTGCCCAGCAGCTAAGCCACAAAAAGTGCTTTGCAAGCCAGAATAGCTGGAGCCACGTCACATGGTAAAGCCAACCCTGAACAAAGGACGTTGTAGCTTAGCATGCTACCTGAACTCAGGTGTCGTAAGATGCCATCTTAGATCAAACACACCAAAAGTGTGGAATCCTTTCCAGGTATAGACCGAATTTGAAGTTTCCGATTTGCAAATTCATGCTTCAAGCCAGTGCTGTGGCCAGGAGCATCTCTGGGGGAGACAGGGTCAAAGATGGCAGTCTCGCGCATACACAATTGAGCCCTACATCCGTTTTCACATCCGTCACAACTATGCTCTTTATTTTGGGCAATGCTGCTGCAGGAGGAAAATTTAGCCACGAGGATGCCAATAGGTTACTCACAGTACTCTCAGATTCAGCCCATGAAATATTTGCTAATGCCTTATACTTTTTCACATGAAATAAAAACTGGCTGAGGAATAATCCTATTAGCAGCATGCAAGTAATTGCACTGAATTGAAATGAAATCCTGTTTATTGGTCTTTCTCGGCTCCACCCACCAATGTGTACTGGCTAAACCTGCCTTGGGAATCCCAGAGCTCAGAATGTCACTGAAAAATAATCAAGGTATGTTACACCAAGATAAAATCCCAGAAGCTGAGTTGTATAAAGAGAGGATGTTAGGATTAGGGTTAGAGGATGGGATAACAAGTAATGGATGGAAACTCATAAAGGAGAGAACCAATCTAGAATTTAAGGAGAAATTTCTTGACAGTGAGAATGATTGGAAAAACTTGCCTCCAGAAGTTGTGGGATTGGACAACCGTTTGTCTGAAGTGGTCTAGGGTCTCCTGCTTGAGCAGGGGTTGGACTAGAAGACCTCCAAGGTCCCTTCCAACTCTGTTATTCTGTATTTTGTATGTGTATCTAAAAAAAGGGGTTACTTTATAGTCAATTTCACTGCCGTGTTGAGACCCAGATCCAATGGTCAACCCCCTACATATTCCAAGAAAAAGAAGCTAAGCCAAGCTAGCTTTTGGCCTAGATCTGCAGAAGGAATGATGAAAAAAGATGGCCCTGATTTCCTTTCAGAACTAATTCAAGGGCATTCTTTATTGTATCTTTCCAGCTCATCAATTACGTACAACTGAGTTGCCCTGAATAGCAAATGCTACCATTAGTTTTCAGCCAGGCATCCTTCCTCAGTTTGCATACTGTAAACAGGAGTTTCCTGTCCTAGCAAGCAACCAAATTTAGAGGTCTGGATTTGAATTAAAATTTGCCAGTGTCAAGATTACCTCTTGGTGACCAACGCCCAGCTTCCACCTGGACACCAGCTAGCCCATGGAAATGAGCTCATTAGAGCTCATGGCTGTTACCAGCCAGAGGTTAAAAACAGAAAGCAAACCTAACGATCCAAGGGTGGGGAGCAGGTGGAGAACTTCAGATGCCACCACCAACACCACCTTGGTGGAACTGTGACAGGTGGATTGGAAGCCATTGGTACAAGGTTTGTTTCTTTAGGAGCGTTTTTCCATCTCAGGAGCTTTAAGACGGGTGGCCTTCAATCCCCAGAATTCCCCCAGCCAGCATGCTAGGAGGACGAGAGAGCACTATAAGAAGAAATCACTCAAGACTAAGTAGACTACAAAGGAGGAAGGTCTTGCTTACAAATTCTCCAGCTCGCCAGTCAGATGCCCAAGGCTAGCCTGCTCCAAAGAAGAAGGCCTTTAGGCTTGGTCCACCAGAAGGATGTCTCCAATCAATCTGAATAGAGCTGGAAGGGCAAGTCCCTTGCTCAAGCAAGAGATCTTATATCATTTCAGACAGGTGGCTGTCCAATCTCATCTTTAAAAAAACCTCCAGAAGCACCTACAACTTCTGAAGGCAACTTCTGTTCCACTGGTTAATTGTCCTCACTGTTAGGAAGTTTCTCCTTAATTCCACATTGCTTCTCTCCTTGGAGAGTTTCCAGCCAATGTTTCTTGTCCTGCCCTCTGATGCTTTGGAGAATTATTTGAGCTCCTCTTCTTTGTGGCAGCACCTCAGTTACTGGAATACTGCTATCATGTCACCCATAATCCTTCTTTTCTCAAGACTAGCCATGCTCAGTTCCTGCAACTGTTCTTGGTATGTTTTTGTCTCCAGGCCCTTAATCATCTTAGTTGCTCTTTGCATTTTTCCCCTCTCAACCTCAGCAATTTTGAGATGTATGGACTCCTAGATCCCAGCCAGCATGTTGAGAATCCTGGGTGTTGAAATCCACATATCTAAAAGTTGCTGAGGTTGACAAACAGAAATGTAGGACTTCAACACCAAGAATTCTCGGCACACTGGCTGGGATTTAGGAACTGAAGTCCATGCATCTCAAAGCTGTTGAGGTTGAGATAACTTTTCTGGTGGACCAAGCATGAAAGTCTTCTCTTTGGAGCAGGCTAGCATGAGAACATCTGTGAATTGATCTGGGCCTGTTTGTCTTCATTTTAGTCTTGGACTCTAACTTGGTTTACTTGCCTGGTCTGTTGCTTTATCCTCATACTTATACTCCTTTAACCCAGTCTTTTTCAAACTTGGCAACTTTAAGACTTGTGGATTTGAACACCCATGTTATCATTATTATTTAGTAACAATAAAGAATGTGAAGATGAACATAAACTCTTGCAAAACCAGGCAACCAGCACTGTGGTTTCTTTAACTGGTCATTCCCCCAGGTAAACACAAACGGACTTGCAGGTATCTGGGTCAGTCACCAGGATAACTTCTCTCTAACAGGGCAGTTCCCTGAAGATGCCTTCGGGCACAAAGCCAAAAGCTGGAAGACAAAACGTCTGGTCCCGGTGACCAACCAAGATCGGATCCTGCAACATTATCCTGGGACACATATATTTGCCTTCATTTGTGATCAATGAACTTCACCAGAATGTTGGTCATTGATCATCAGAAAGATCTCACGGAATTCTGCCATCTGGCATGTATGGAAATCCAACTTAGAGATCGCAAATGGCGGGATTGTTTGGAAGATAAAAGGCCAGCTTTTTACAAGCCCAAATAATGCTGCATTTTGCTAACAAATAACAGGTACACACCCTAATAATGTCCAATCCAGGCACCTGTTGCAAGGGGAATTTTGCTAAAATGGAGGGTGTGTTCTCCAAAGATAAGTTCAGAGGAACGAGCCATTTCCTTCCTCCTCATCTCGGCTGTGTTCGTGCACCTGCTGTTTGCTCACCGTTTATTGTATCTCTTGTCCAACAACTGTATTGATGAGTGCATGGATAGAGCAACCAACTTGGGCAGAAGGCTCTCTGTGCAAATAAGGAAGCAGCTCTCTTATTTTGGGGTTGGTCCAACCAACCAGAGTGAAAAGTGATCACAAAGATGGCATAGCAATTATCATAGGTAGTCCTCAGATTGCAACAGGTTGTTTAGCAACCAGTCAAAGTTCCTGGGAGCTATGCACAACTTAGAATCGAAGTTCTGATGGTTGACAACCTGGCTGCATTTATGGATGTTTGCAGCATCCTGCAGTCACATGACAATGTTTTACGACTGTTGCCAAAAAACAAAACCAGGATTTATTTCCGTTTTTCAGCAAAACTGCACCACAAACTATTGGTTCGTTTAATGGCTGTCGTGTTTAACGACTGCCATAAGGAATATTATAAAAGCAGGTCGGTTACGTGACTGACCCATTTTATGACTACTGTGACTTATAACCATGATGGAGAGGCTCCATTACGGTTGTAAGTCAAGACAACCTCTATAATGTTGCATATTGTTGACCAGAATAGCCCTTACTAAATGCTACTATAGCCATTGGTCCACATGGGAAATTCCCCTGCAACATGATTTTTTTTTCTCAAACGTTGCCCTAGATATTAAATATAAAATACATACGGCAGATATTGAGTCTTCCTGCCTAAGCAGCTTACATTTTTAGCCATGGTTAAAGGTTGCTGCATCAGAACCAGGTTTTGGAGAAGGAAGGTAAGAGACGGCGACTTACACTTCGTCGCAAGCTGCTCGTTTGCATTGAGCGCTTTTCAGCCAGCAGATCCTTCACTGTGTGTTTGACGCGCACACCTTGATAAATACGCTTGCCATAGTCTGTGGGGACTAAAGAAGACAAGATACGTGAGCAGGAAAGGAAAGGATCTCATAAAGGATGCTGGATGAAGAAAAGATTCAACTCCAGAGGTGTCCAACCTCAACAACTTGAAGACCTGTGGGCTTGAATTTCTCCTGCTGACTGGGGAATTCTGGGAGCTGATTTCCACAAATCTTCAAATTGCCATCCCTGAATCTACACGATTCAAGGATAGATCTCTGCTCCAGGAGCTAACTAAACCTTGTATGTTAATTGTGAGAATAAAAAGAGGTAGAGTAAGGCTACATGGTTTGTTCTTTCATTCATGGATCGAAGGTGCCATCAAGTCCAGGGTCAACAGGCCAAGCTTGGGTAAATGTTTTGTGCTCCAAGGGGATTGACTGACTGACTGACTGACTGACTGATTGATTGATGGATTTAGATATATCCTATTCAGGGGTCATTGAAACCTTCCAATCCCCATCTTGAAATATCTGGTGTTATAAATACAACGGAAGGACTGATGTTCAACCAGTCATCCTGAGATTGATTTGGATTTGGTTTTGTCAATGAGAAGCTAGCTAGGAGGAAGCAATGATAACATAGTCTAATGTGCAGATTCAATTTTTGTTTAAGGTGAATCAAAGTCTCTTTGTGGCTTGATTCAACCAGAGTAGAGAACATTTTGTTGATTTTTCAAGAGTTTGCCATTGTAACTTTGAACAGTCACTAAGTGAAGGGTTGTAAGTTGAAGAGTACTCGTATTTTTCAAAATATCATTCCAAGCTGGAAATGATATATTTTTTCCCACTCACAGAAGCACTTCCTGAATCATTGGCAGCCATGGCTTTCACCAGATCTTCTCTGTATATTTTGCTGCTCTTGGGGGTGGGTGGGTGTCCATTCTAATCTCATTCAACTTGAAATAATGAAGCAGATTCTTTTATTCTGCCTTTGGAACTGTGCCCAATCGTCATCTTCATTTAACGACCCCATAATTCCTTGCGGGGTGGAGTCTAGGCAATTGAATGGAGCTACCAGAGTGTTTTAATGGCCAGATGCCCTTCCTGTCACCAATGTGGAGTTTTGTTCAACAGATATATTCTCAGTGTGCCCAGAGAGAGAAATATCTGCCTCTACCTAGGATTGAACTGAAAACCTCCTGAGTGTGAGGCGAGAGCTTTTGGAACGGTGCACAAGGCACATTAAAAACCAAAACAGAGCTGCAATCTTGACTTCTGGAGTCATACCCTGAAGACACCCCAATGCTCACAGAAAGAATCTACTCTGCAGAAGTGAGAAACAGCCTGAGCGGAACTTTCAGCCAGCTGTTATTTGAGGTTCCACTTAAAGTTTTAGGAAACAATGCAACTACAAAACTGGAGCATCTTTCAAGCTCAAATAAAGTGTCCTAGGAGGAAAATTCTTTGATCTTTTATGCATATTGACCTACCCTTCCAAGGGTAGGTCTTTTTGTGCATAACTGTTTTGTGCTTTTGTTCTCTATCTATTTATTTATTTAGCATATGGCATTTATTTCGCGTTTTGTTCCGCTTGGGAAATAGAGATAGATTAGTTCTGCAAATTGGGAGCGGTAATCCATAGAAAGCCTTTTCAAGATCTAGGACAATGGAACGGCTAGCCATCAAATCTTTAGACCTGTTCTATCCCGATTTTGGCTGCAAGTGATCTAAAAAAGGCAGCAGACCCCCCCTCCCCCCTTAAATAAAAATATTTATAGGAATCAGTTGTGATCAGAAATAACTATGCACCCAGTCAATAGGGAGAATCAAAGAAAATCCAAGCAATCAGTTTCCTGGTTTGTCTGGAGCTTAAGTCAGAGAGTGAAGCTGGTTCAAGATTCTGTCTTAGGATAAAACTGCTCCTTGGTTTTTATTTAAATAAAGCTACTTGGAAACCTCTGTCTTTTCTTCAGTCCAGAAGGAAAAGGGTTTCCCCCCGATCTTTCCCTTTACTCAGCTAAGATGCACGCATCCAAATACAATAATTACAGCATTTTAGGAAACTTCACCACCACAAACTGTCTGAAACGGTTCAGTTGGCAGGATTTGAAATCAAGACTTTCCTGTATTTTGGGTTCTGTGGAATTAGCCTTGAGTTTGGCAATGATAGTAAATTGCCTGACCTGGAGGTTCTATTTTGGATACATACTTTTGAGGGAGGCAATGTACAGGCAGTTCTTGACTTAACAATCTCAAGTGGGGGAAGAATTTCTATTGCCAAAAGCAAGGTGGCTGTTTACTATCTTGCAGCTGACTTTACAAACTTCTATGCCACTGTTGCTAAACGAATTAATACACGTGAAGTGGATCAAGTCAATACTTACCAGTTTCCATGCTCAAGGGGGACTATTTCTCTCTCTGTAAATTTAGCAGAATATTTGAGGAAATCTGCTGTCATGAACTTGGATGCTGCCGCAGAAGACTCTCTTTCTTACTCACGCTCACTTTGAATTGAACAGAAATGGCTTTTTCCGCAATTTTAGAAGACATCTCAGAAATGAGTTCTGTAGGATTTGTATAAATGCAAATCCTTTGATGTCTGTTTAGATGTAATTTGCATAGTCAGCGAGGAAAAGGTGCTTTCACTGAGCCAAAATGCATAATTTTAGGAGCAAGAGAGGATGGAATGGATGGGTGGATGGATGGACAGATAAATGTTCGTTTTTACAAATAGACTTTTGCTACATGAAAAAGTTAAATGAAGAATGTTTAAGATTGTGAGGAGTCCTACAATTACTTGTTATTTTTAATAATTAGAACTGATATTGAGTATTTGCAATTGTAAAAAAAACCCTGCTTTATAGCTAAATAAATGTTCTAGATCTTGGTCTGGACAGTTTACACTGTAATCCAAACTCCTGTGCATATACAACACAAAGAGAGTTTTTCCCATTTCCCATTGTCCTTTAGTTAGAAAGCTGTTCCTTAACTTTATTTCAATCTATGTTATAATAGTAATGACTCTTAGTAAACTATAAATAACAAAAGGGAAAAAAATTCCTCAACCATATATTGCATTTATTAATGATACTTTTGTGCATTCCATTGCATAAGCTTCTCTGGAAAATTTATAGCAACCCTAAAAGTTACTTTGATGCAAAGTAATATTTTCAAACAAATACACTTAAACATATTAACATAAGTCACAGACTTTACAAGCCAAACAATTTATTTATTTATTTATTTTTTAAAAAATGAAATTCCTCCTGGAAGGAATTAAAGATATAGGTAGGTTACAGTAAAGACAAACTTAAAATGAAAATTTATCTGTGCTCAAATCTGATTCTGGATGCACCTTTCTATTTTAGCATCATTTTGGAAATCAAATACATCTTTAAATTTTTTGGAAAAGGTTTTATTTTGTTTGGATATTTCATATTGCTATCAATTGTTATGAAAAATGTTGGTTGGATCTCACTTTGGTCATCTTTAGATCAGACTAATTGATATCAGTGGGACTTAAAACTATTTCCATGCTTTATGGGGAGATGCAGTTTGCAGGACTTGGGGTGTTTTATGAGATGATACAAAGGCTGAATTATTCATGCAGATCTGGGCGTAATTTATTCATTTTTTTCTGACAGAACAGTCAAGGATAGCTAGGTACACAACCTACATTGCAAAAGGCTACATATTTATTACATCTTGCTCTATTTTTAGTGCAACACAATGAACATTTGATTTCAGTAAGATCCAAAATCCTTGGCATAACCAGTTCCTTACAATATGTAATCTAAGTTTGAGTTTGGTACAAGTGAGGTCAAGCCTCTCTCACCCCTCTAGGCAAAATGGGCAGCATATAAATCGAATATTAAAAATTATAATTTAAAAAAAACTCTTTCTACTCTAGCCAATGCAACTTTCATTGTCTTCTATCCAAGTACTAAAAACTATGCTCCTGATCCAGAGTTTCTTGAACATTCTCCGGGGATGTTTAGAAGGGTGATCTTCTAAAATGCCTAATAAAAGTATTGTTTGAGATGCAATTTCTGCATTGGCTTGATTCCAATCCCCACCCACTTCCCCCTCTTTATAGTAACAGTATGGGGCAAGGCAAGAAGTGGGAAGAACCTGGTAACTTGCACCAAAGTCTGCAAAAATTCTGGACGACAAAACACTTTTCACTTTTTTTTAAATTTTCTCTTAATCTTTGATTTCTGGACTCCCAAATTAAATGGATCCTTTTTTCCACGGGGCAGGTTAGGATGAACGAGGAATCCTATTGAAACCTGGAACCATTACTCGACAACCTTCTGTTCTCTGTCGGACCTAACACCGCGATGCTCTCGCTTTTGACAGGCCGGCTAGGTCCCGCCCTCCCCTGGCCACACCATTGGCTGCTTCGGACGCCTCCGGCGCCTTTATTGGCTGTTGAAATTAATCCGGACGGCTCGCGGGCGCGCAGGTGGAGGGGGGGGAAGGAGTCGTCGCGTCGGACGTCGGCCGGCCGGGAAACACTCGGTAACTATGGAAACGCGGCCTAGTGGGTGCCCCCGGGCCTTGGCTCCCCGAACCGGAGGGCGTTTTTGTTCCTCCAGACCCTGTTTTTTCAGCTAGGGAGGTCTCGACCGGGGACCTTTCTTCGGTCCCGCCTGGTGGGTGTGCGGACGCTGCACGAAAGGGCGAGGCGCCGAGGAAGGAGCGACTCAGATGATGGACGGGGGGCGTCTCTGGCCGGGTGGGCTTTCAGCTACGCGGAGCCCCGGCCTTGGCCGAGCTGGTGGGGATTAGTGGAACCCAAGTTCAGCTAAATTCTGGAAGCCTCCGGGTCGGGCAAAGGTGCTTTGTTTTTCTCAGGAGGGGCAAAAAAAGGGCAACAGCAATGGATAGAAACGCGAAGGGAGATTATTATTGTATATTGTTTTATATAATATTGACAGCTTTCTATATGTAGATAGTGTAAAATACAATATGTTATGTTATGTTATGTTATGTTAAATAGCATGTATACTTGTGTGTTTATAGTAATATGCACTTTATAATTTAATTCGTATAATTTGGTATGTCTGCCTGCTCCAGAAGACTTTGGACATAAAAACCACAAAAATGGTAAAACTAAATTTACATGTTCTCCCTTCTTTCATCTCCTTCTGTATCTATCTATCCATCTTTATCTATCTATCTATCTATCTATCTATCTATCTATCTATCTATCTATCTATCTATCTATCTATCTATCTATCTATCTCATCTATCCATCCGTCCATATACATATGTATAAAATCACACACATACATGTACATAGCATTGTGTGTGTGTAAATATTGTCTATACTATACATAGTATGTCTATAGAATGTATAACTATATGTAATATATATTTAGCATCATATAGCATAAGATGCAATATATTATAATATGCATATAAGCATTTATGTATACTTTTTCTCCTTGCTTGCCTGCCCTGTCCTTTGGACCGAAGGAAGGCCATTGTGGTTTTGCTAGAAATTCATTGCAGTCGGCTTGCCCTGAAGCGCTTCCTCACAGCGAATCCTTGGAATTGAAGAATTGGATGAGGATGCTTTTCTAAAGACTGTAAAATCCACAGGATAATTGGGAGTCGGGAGGTGCGTTGGGCAGAATTCCAGCTCTTCCCATCAACCCCTTTTCGAGGCTGGAGGGAAGGTGACAGAAGACCTCCTTCGGGATGTGTGTGTGTGAGAGACACACACACACACACACACACACACCCTTTCTCCGATTGCCCTGCAGGGTTGTGGCCATGCCTCCTGGGAAGACAGGGGAAAAAGAGACTTTGGTCCTGCAGTGTGAATGGGAAATCTGCAGCTTTGTGGCCTCGAAGATGGAAGAATTTTGCGAACACGTGTCACAGCACCTGCAGCAGCATCTCCAGGGAAAGGAGGACAATGAGATGGATTCTCTTGGTGAGGGGCATGCCGGGCAGGTTTGGTTCTCAGTTTAGCAGAATCTTCTAGGAGGGTTTGCAGGACATCAAGCTGTGATGCAGACCAAAAGGCTTTGGGGCTTTGATCGCCTGGTTGGGGCTATCGCCCTGACTTTTTTTGACCTCCTTGGACATCACAGTGACTCTTATTTGCTTTTAATATGAGCTGTGTGGCATTCCTCTTTGAAAATTGGCACAATGCTTCTCTGTATTCCCTTCCTCCTCTTGTTAAAAGAATGGATTGATTTCATTAGAAAACCCTTATGCTCCTCTAAATTACCTTTCTGGTTCAATGCCAGCCAGCCAGCCTATTGGTCTTTCTTATTGCAGATAGTCCTGTTAGCCATTGGGGTTTGCCCAAAGCTCCCACTGGAATTGCAAGGGAGAAGTTGCAGCCCCTTCACTACTATAGTTAACTTATGTCAGTGCAAAATTGAAGCAGGCCAGTGGCTGTAGGCAAGGGACATGTGGAGAAGGCAGGATTAAGCTAAACTGGGTTTCAAAAGGTAGTGAGAGCGTGAATCGGCGAAAGAAAGAAGGGAAAAAAAGAAAGGAAAGGAAAAAGGGAAAGAAAGAAAAAGAAAGAAGGGGTTAGTTGAGAAAAGCTGAGAAAGTTACTTTCTCTGGCTTCTTTTTTAATTACAAGCTTCAGTATTAAATCAGAATTGTTTCTGTTTTATAAATCACATCCAGAAACGGGAGGGTGATCAAGACCAATTACTAAGTGGAAATGTGTGATGTAAGTCTGTCTCTTGCAGGTATGAGCTTCGTGCTTGCTCTATAAACTCTCTCTTTTCCCTCCCCAGAAGAATACTCTTGCCTCTGGCAGGAATGTGGCTTTTGTTCTCCCGAGAGTCCTGCGGAGCTCGTCCGCCATGTTTACTTCCACTGTTACCACACCAAGCTGAAGCAGTGGGGACTGCATGCCTTACAGAGCCAGTCTGACTTGACTCCCTGCCAGCTGGATTTTCAGAGCCGGAACATCATCCCTGAGATCCAAGAGAACTTCCTCTGCCTTTGGGAATACTGTGAGGTGAGAGATGGGACGGGAAAATGGGTGGTCTTTCCCAGTGATGTGGTCATACCTGCCCCAACTTGGATTCTCAGGAAAGAAAGATTCACGACTCCATTTGTGTGAACGGTATACTTTTACTAAAAACCCAGTGGTTACAGTACACAAAGCCAGAACTAAACTTTGTGCAGAAAGAATTCCTAGTTAACCCTCCCTTTCGCCATTCCTCCCCCTTGTTATCTGTCTGTTGTCCAGTTACATTCAAACGATTTATTTTGGTAACTGTCCCTGCTCTGATAGGCTAGATCAGTGGTCGCCAACCAGTGGGCTGGGGACCGCTAGTGGTCCGTGAGAAAATTTTGGTGGTCCACAGGGAAATGTCCCCCCCCCCAAAGCATTCCCCCCAAAGCAATTAATC